TGAAAGTTTGATATTGCTGGAGGTGATGTGAATACCTGTGACCTTACAAAAGTTCAAACATCTATTCCCAGCTGATTGTATGTGCTGGTGTTTTTTGAGATTGCAAGGCATTCATGTTTATAAGTCCCCTAAAATCACTAGCAAAAACTGTCTCAAAACAAAAACCCCAAACCACAGAAGCCTGTTTTCAGTTAGTTAAGTTTGGGGGTATTTTTGAAGCAAATAATTTAATCTGTTAGCTTTATTTGCAATAAATAGTGAGTTTCCTAATGTGTCAGTTAATGCAGGACAGGGTTCTTATCTCTTGGGTTTGAACATAATTGAGTAATCAAAGAAAAAAGTTTGGCATCATGTAAAAAGACCAAAAGAATATAATTATTTGATGATTCCCCCCCTTTAAGTAAATTAGTATTTTATACTGGTGAGTATGCATCAAATACCTGCCCTGTACTTCAGTTCTGCCACTTTAACTGCACCACTGATTAAACTCAAACAGCTCTGCAAATTTTGCCAGTTTGTCAGAGTGAAAAATGTTTATTTGGGGTGAAAGAGAATGAACTTCTGCTTCCAGCTCAGCTGTTGCCAAGGATAGTCTTGTTCTTCTGGTCTAGAGCCTGGGGAGGGAGCAGAGGGGTGTCTGATGGGTGTCTTTCATTGTCACACTTTGAAGCAGCACTGCAGATAACCGGTTCTGCCTGAGAACAAGGGAGGTAATCCTTGGATAATCTGCACAGAACAGGGCACAGGGGCTGCTGAGGCAGGGGGGTTGGCTGCAGACAGTCAGAGGCAGCTTTTCACAGCAACCTACACTGCTGAGGAGTTGCTGGTTCTGCAGAGTCCCACTCATTCTGTGCAAATGCAGCTGCTGGGCGTGTGGGACTTTCCCGTCTTTAGTTCTGGCCTGTGTGTGGGGAGATCAGAGATGCTGCCCAGCCCAGGGCAATGCTTTTACCCCTCATCAGTGTGGGTTTGTAGTCACTGTCCCTCTGTGTAGTGGGAACTGTGATTTCAGTGGCACTTCCTGGATGCAGTGAACTTTCTCTAAGAGGCCTGTAGATACCAAAGTGCAACCCTGTGAGCTGCCACACAAGTGGCTTTCCCTCTGCCTTGGGGTTTTTGCAGCAGCAGCAGCACATTGCTGTGCAATTAATATGTTCTTAAATAATTCTTAAATGAAAAGCATTCTTACTAAAGAAAATACAGGGTTTTGACAGTTAATTCTTTTTCTTTGGTGAATATCATTCCAAGGTACTGTGCTTGCAGAGCTTTGCAGTGTTTCAGATTGAGTCCTGCCTCTGTAAAGGGTGATACTCCAAGTGGACTATTTCCTGTGAGTAATCCCACTGAGATCAGTGATGTGGTGTAGACATGGCTTGGTGCATTGAGCCTTGGAGGATTCTGGCACTGGTCTTTTTTTCAAAGAGCTTTATACTACTTTGGTTAATTTTTTTTTTTTTTAATTAATGATTATGGCCTGTCACTGGTACTTGGTTTTACATTTTCCTGTAATTCTTGTCATTTTTATTGGTTGACTTTAATTCTGGGTTGTAGTGAAGTGCCTAAATGATGGACAGATGGTCTCCAAAGCTGCATTATCCCTAGATGAATCACACATTGTGATAGTACTTTTAATGCTAAATTCAGAGGTGTAGGGCCCAGTCATACCTTCCAGGGAGAACTGCAAAAATTACCTTAAGTGGTGAATTTCAGGATGCAGGAAGATGCTTTACTGCAAGTGTTCTACCTGGAATGCAAACTGTGAACATCTTGTCTAGACAAGTAATTATTCCTAGTACTGGAAGTAGTTTTATGCCATTGCGGGCAAAAGCAATTTCTTTTCTTTTTTGTAATTTTGGAGCTTGGTAGAATATGGGAAGTGTTCTAGAAAACTTTGAATATACTTGAGTCATGGGTGGTTCTTTATTTTACACAGTAAAAGATGAGCATCACATTCTGCCTGTGAACTGGGAGAAGTGAGAAAGCACAGGAACCAGAACAGCACCAGGGGAGCTGGCAGGGAAACAGGAGCACATTGCAAGAAATGATGCTTTTGCAGCCACATGACATGTTAGCGTGGCTTTGCTTTCTATACCATTTACTCCAGTAGGTGCTGGACAGGGGAGTTTGCACCAGCAAGGTCAGGTGCTGCCTTGTGCTGTTATTTGCACATGAGAAACAAACTCACATGTGAGTGTGGACACAGGCAGTGCTTTGGGTGGGTCCACTGAACTAAGTGACCACAAACATCCAACTACCCTGCTGGACATCCTGAGCAGGTTGAGCTCCATGGATTCTTTGAGGAAAACAGCAGTGACAGCACATGCTCAAACAGAGACCTATCAAAACCACAAAACGCATATTCCACACAGGTTGTTTGACTCTAGATAGAAGCTTTCTAAATGTACAAGTTGACTTCTGGTTGGTTTTTTTGTTTGCAAAGCTGCTTGAGTAGGAGGAGGGCCAAAGTCATCTAGCTGGAACCAGCTGGCCTTCCCAGAGGAAACCCTTTGGTGCATGTGCCAGGAATCTGATCAGCCTTCCAAACAACAAAGGTGACAGACAAGCTGAACAGGGAGTTCCTGTCTGGGAGGACTGGGGGAACAAGCAGTAAAGGAGCTTGGCTGAAGTGGTGGATCAGTTAAAGACAAAGGAGGTGGCAATCCTTTATACCTGTGGAAGGAGATGGTCCCAGTGGGTTTCAAAAGGGCTTAGACATTGCTGGGCACGTGTGGGGTGGGCTTTGTGCCCTCTGACACACCTACAGCACCTTTCCTAGTGCCACAGAAATACAGGGCTGCTTGGGAGGCATGGACAGGCTAACAGATGCTTTCTGCAGCGTGTTTCATTCTGCCAAAGTGACCTGTTGTGTCTCAATCCACAGCTGGCACATTTGCCATGGCTCAGCAGAGGGGCTCTGGCAGCAGAGTGCCAGCCTGGGATGCTGGTCTGGTGACAGGCACGTGGCAGCATGGCCAAGCAAGAGGCTCACATTAAAGCCCAGCTTCCCGGGGAGTGTTACCTGGCCAGACACCTACAAGTACCACCTGCAATTTCCTCCACTGGGGCACCTGCATCTGTTCTTACTGGTTTACAACCTGCCTTTGCTCTAGAGTGGCATTTCACTTTGTTACCCATGAACTCTCCCTTCTGCAGACTATTGTGTTTAGGGTCTGCATGGCTCAATTCCAAAACATTCATGCTGCTCCTACTTCGAGTTTCACTTGAAAATGTTTGTTTATTTATTTAGTTAGTTTCCATATGTTTTTTTTCTCTGAATTGTGGTCATAGTAATGTTTCAAGTAGATACTTCATAGTAATGTTTCAAATAGATACTTCACAGAAATGTTCCAAGTAGATACTTGGTTTTGGAAAAATGTATGTTTAAAGTCCATATTAAATATTCTCTAGATGAGAATATGTTGCTTCATTTAAATGTTTAGCCTGGTTTAAAATTTTAGAAACAAAACCCAATTAGAAATGTAATTATTAAGTATTTTATTTGGTAACTTGAAAGAGGTTATTTGTATCTGAAACATTTTTTAGGAAAACATTACAAAATAGTATTGTTTGTTCCAAGCAGATATCTTAGTTTAAGACTTGCAGGAGCAACTTTTTCACATATGAAAGCTTCATACTCTCATTTAGATAACTATTACAGCTATGTTGCTATTTCTCATTTTGCCATTGAGTCAGCCAGTGAATGCCATGAATTTGTGGCATGTAATACAGTTAATGCATAATATATATGGGCAATGAAAGGTCTTTGTCATATAGTATAAGGTCACCATCATTAATTTTCAAATTATAAAAAGGGATTTGCTGTTTTGTGATCATCATTATTGCAATATAATGTGTTGTGGATTCTGCCTGCACATAGAATGAACTGTGATCTTAATTAGAACTTTGACAAGCCTACTCCGATAAAATGATGAGATTATTCATAATTGATGTCACAATCAATTACCAGTTAGTTCATCATGAATCTACTAACAGGTCTAGCCTTGGTGCTGGCCCCAGGATGTTGATGAGTGTGTGGCTGCCCTGTTCATGCTGTTACTGCGACAGGAGGGCAGATTTTCAGTCAACATCCTAATGACCTCTTTTGAAGTCTATTAAATTAATGACCCTGTCACATTGGTCTAACCTCTTGCATCTTCATTTTGGATTTTTTTTTGCAAACCATTGGTTTTTGAGCACATGATAGAACAGATACTTTGGAGCACTCCTTCTCATCCCTCTAAATCTGGCAGTGGGTCTTACTGGACTCAATAAAATTTATTTCATCGCACAGTCATGAAATACAGAGCTCAGAAATCAGGAAAAACACTGTAAGGCAAACTGTGCTTAACACCATTCTGTTCTGGTTTCTTTTTACATTTCAATCTTCTTATAGGTACCTAAAGGACATGTTTGGTTAGAAGGTGATAATCTCAGGAATTCTACAGATTCCAGGTGCTATGGACCTGTTCCTTATGGGCTGATAAGAGGACGCATTTGTCTTAAGGTATGTGCATTTATACTATCTAAAAATAGTTGCATTAATACATTTTTAATGAGTGGGTGTTAGGCACTGAAACTTGCCTCCCCAACTGCCTGGCCAAAGCAAATGCAAAGGAAAGCATGAACACTCCACCACCTGCTGTAGAAGGATAAATCAACAATGATGTGGTTTTTGGAGGGAGGACTTTGGAGCAGCACTGAGCAGTCTCTGCTGTGAAAATTGAATGAATTGTTTTGCAAGCAAATCCAAACATGATAAAGCCACAAATGTATACATATATGCCCTGCTGCACAGATGTACATTTCATCCTTGGATTCTCTCTGCAAAATAGTTTTTCACTGTTTCAGCTCTGTGGTTCAAAAAACAAAATGGAGGAAAAGATTCTCTTTCCAGGACTTGCACATATACTTTGGACATATAGCCTGGCCTGGCTGCTTTTTAAACTAAAAAAAAATGCTCTGAAGGAATATTGTACTGGATAAACCATCATGGTTTCTTCTCCTTTTGCTTCAACAATTCTACAACTTTATTTCACACTGAATTATTTTTTTATATTATCTGTGTTACTAATTCACTCTTTTACCAAAAAGAAGAAACATAACACAATTTCCTGTCCATAAAAGTTTAATCTAAGAAACAGGAGAGTGTGTATTACACACTTATACACCTGCTTTTAGAAAGCTGGATTTAAAGTTGTGCATTCAGAACAATAAAAAAGGTTTTCTCCAGATACTTCAACACATTCACAAACCCATAATTTAGCACACTTGTATTACACAGAGAAGATTAGATCTTTCCAATTTAACAAAGCCTTATATCCTTAATTTACAGTATTTATGAACACAATTTGGGAATTTAAAAAAATGAAAAAAAAAAACCAAACAACTTGCAGCTATTGAGCACAATCAGTAATTGCTTTCCAAACCTCAGACAATACGATCCCCTGAGCCCTACTGGCAGATTTTGGGTGACCTCTGTTCCTCCTGGCTCACATTTGCTCTGAGTCCTTCCCTGGTTCTGCCCCTTCTCCTGCTGCCTGCCTTACACCAGAGGGGAAGATGCTGGTTCCCAACAGGGCTGTTTTTATGACCCAAGTTTTAGCTTGGATTATGGACTGCTAAGAGACAAAGGATGCTCATCTGCTGACACTCCTCTAATGAGAATGTGGCAGTAATAATGCAACTGAAAAAAGCATTTCTCCAAACTGAGGCACAAGTATAGAAAAGCTGCAGCTGTTTACTGCTTTCATTTTAGCAAATACTGGATATATCAAGAACCTGTGTGTATGGACAGCCAGAATTAGTCACAGCATTTCTCCACAGCAATAGATTTTGTGTCCAGATTGTGCCCTGACAACGAAGGTGTTTGAAAGACCTTAATGAAGTGACTGAAAGGACTGAACCCCAAGTAAACTCTGCAAAATGGGTGGAACTCATGTACAGAAAATTCATATTGAAGCACTACTTTAGGACTCCAGAAGACTGTCTGTTAAAAAAAATATTAGGCAATCACTTGATACTTAATCAAAATAATTTAACCAGATTTCACAGCAGCTGTTTAATGACAGGGGCATAGAGTAGTGATTATTCAAGATTTTGTGAGATTTAAGTATATGGTGCCTAACAAAAGCAAAAATTATTTTTTTCTTCAAATGAGTGTTTCTAATAGGGCTCTTTATGATACCTCACGTGAGCACACAGTGGTGTTGCTCCTGCGTGCTGCTGCTGCTGCACACTGCAGTGCAGGGCAGCAGATACAGACTGCATGGGGCTGGCTGGCCACTGGCCACTGGCCAGGAAACCTCTGAGTGCTTTTAATGCAGCCTGCTGCAGCTTTGGCTTCTCTTCCATCCAACAGTTTTTACTGCCTTCAGAATGGAAGTTTTTGTGGCTTTGTCTTACAGTGGATTTTGGAGAAGCAGATGTAACAGTGCCTTTCAGTGCTGAGTTACTTTTATAGGAATGGATACAAAAAATTCAAATATAATTTGGAAGTCAGGGATTTCAACAGAAGAGAGTGAGCTTAGCCAACCTAGCTGGCTGAATTTATTTAGCCAAGCTATTCTTGGCAAAACATGAGTGTTTATCTGAAGTTTAGACCGAGGGTTCTCAGCCACTGTTGGTGCAGCAGTTTTTCACCCTTAGAGAAATACCAACACCTGATTCTTGTGCTACCACTCCAAACACATGGTCATTCCTTAAAGGGCTGCTGAAATCAAAGCAGCTGCAAATTCAGTAAAAGCACTGGGAATCCCACATAGACAGAACTCATGCTCCATCCTGTCCTAGGTAGGATATCCTGTGCATTCCCTGGATTTAGACTCCATGTCAGAACTAGACCTGTGGTGTATCTTCAAAAGAGCTAGTTAGCCCCATTTATGCCCTGTCCATCAGATCAGATCTATCTATGTAGGCCAAAGCAGAGAGGGCAAAGAGCTGCTAATTGGAAGAGCCAGTCTGAATGAGCAAGTCACAGTCAACTTCTGTCAGAACTTTAAAGGACTCGGGGATCACGACAGAGTGGCATGTCTTTGTTTCACAAAGGAGGCCTTCCATCTCTTTCCAGCAACCAGTATTATTTCTCAGGTTCTCCCTGCATGCAGACTAGATAAAACATCATTTTCATTCTAAGTCTACCATTAAGATTACTGTGACAAATTTCAAACTACACTGTCAAAGCACCATTTAAATCTAATTTGATTACTTTCACTGAAAGAAAGTCAAGTTGCAGTAGGTGTGATTTGAGTTGCCTGAAATTAGATTTGTGCTGGAGTGAACAGACAAAAAAACTTCCTTCTCCAGGCCTTTATTGAGATCAGCTTAGATTTGTTATATGGGATATTTTTCTTTCCTTTTACTTCTGTTTGCCTTCAGGGCCAAACAAAGACTTGACACCCAGCCTGCAGCCAGCACAGGCCCTCTGGACAGCTTTGAATTCTGCAGCTTTGCTGCTAACCAAGATCACAAATTCCCTTCTATTGTTGGCTTGTATCTTGTGTGGAACTTAAAATAGCTCACCGGCTGATCAGCACAGAGACAGGACATCACCTCTGTGGTTCTGTGCCAGCAGCTGTTCCTCGTGCTCCTCCCTGACAGCACATGCCAGAACCACAAGTATTGTCTGAGATCTTGCACAAGAGCCTTTTCCTGATGCACACAACTTGAGGTCCTGCTCATGACTCATCCTTCTGCCTTCCTGATGGGGCACAGTGCTGCCAGGGGCTGCCAGGAGCCTGGGGAGGGCACAGCCCCAGCCAGGAGAGAGCTGCTGCTGCTGCCTCCTGCCACGCCTGGCCTGAACTGCCTCAGCCTCTCCTGGCACAGCCTTTGGTGCTGGGGACAAATCACAGGGGTAGAAATAACTGAGTCTTTACCTGTGCTTCCTCTTTTAAATGAGACAATTATTCTTTCACTCCACACAGAGAGCAGCAAAGGCTCCTTCTGTGCCCTGGCTGCTCCACGAACTCAGAGCTGCTGTTAGGTTGCTGTTCATATACCTTAAGACCAAATTCTAAGGAGAAATAAGCGAGATGAGCAAAATACTGACAGATGCTTTGGGAACAAGGTAGCAGCCCACCTTTCTGTGTCTAGGCTGCTTCATCTTGGGCAGGGGCTGTGAAATTTTTATGGGCTTAGAGCCACAGAGGGTGTTGATTCTTCAGCATCATCTTGCCCTTCTTCCTGCTGAGCCCCTTGTGCCATCTTTGAAAGAAGCACAGACATTCAAGGGAGACAAAGGACAGTGAGCGAATGAATGTCCTTGCTTTCCTATTACCTTTTTTTTTTGCATCCAAGACCATCCTACATGTAATTAATGACTCTGCAGAGCAAAGTACTCCTGGGAGCAGCATTCAGTACATGAACAGCTATACAGGTAATTTCTGGAGAGAAGCTCTGTTTATTGGTCAGCATCACTCTCTGACACCCTGTACTTGGTGATGAGCTGTGCTCTTCTGGAAATAACTATCCCTTCTGAGAGGAGCCTCATCCAGAGCCTGGGTGGTGGCAGGCACTTCACCCCTTCATTCCTGTTTGTTTGAGTTTGTTTCAGTTTACTTGTAGCCAACAGATCTTTTTTCCCAAGGTTTGGTATTTCCAGTTCAAAGGCCCATCTTGAAAGTACAAATAAAATAAAAATACACTTCACCACAGGGAGGTCCATGTGAGTGGTACTTTTTTCCTCCTAGATGGACCAAAAACCACATACTTTGTCTTTAAAGTGATGAAGAGCTTTACAGGCTAGAAAACACTGGATTGGAAAGATGCTCTTTAGGAACACATTTATTTCCAAGGGTGAAAAAAGCAATTTAATTCATGAGCCTCTCCATAGCAAAGCATATCTCCTCTATAAATTGTAAAATTCACACTATGGAATGATTCCCTGTAATATACAGGATTTATTACTGCTAGTAAGAGAAGCACATCAGTGAGCAAAGTTCTTTACCAAAGAGAGAAAAACTCATCATGGTTATGAAACGATTCCAATAACAAATGAAAACACTGAACTTTGAATTGTGATTAAAATCTCTTGTAACTGTGCTTTATTTTACAGCTATGGCCTCTGAATGACTTTGGATTTCTACGTGCAAGCCCCAATGGCCACAGATTTCTTGATGATTAAAAGACTTAAGCTACTATTGACAGTTTTCATAGTCTTTTCTACTAAAATGAATGGAACTATTTTTGTTTAGAATAAACACAAATATTACTTGACAAAGATGTCTGCGATTACACTTAACTTCAGAGTGGGAATGATACACTTGTGTCATCAGCAAAAATTATGTGCCTGCCATCAGCAGGTGGTGCCAGGGCTGGCACTGGGCACAGCACCAGTGGGGTTCCAGACCTGCTGGTCACTCCCAGGAGTGCTGTGGGGTTTCCTCTGACTGCCCAGTGGGGTCAGAGCACAGCTTCCTCATTAGCTTTCCTCTCAGGAATGATGACTCCACTTGTTCTGACATGGAGAGCCTCAGCTCTACACGTGCTCCTGCTCCAGGCTGCCCAGGTGATGCTGCTGTCACAGGGCAGGGACAGCCACTGCTTCCAGCTGCCAGCCCCTGCCTCCTCCTCCTAGGCTCCAGTCCTTGAGAGGATTTCATGACCTTAAATATTTAGCTTACAAACAGAAAATGGTCGTGTTTCCCACTGAACCTTGCTCTTCATTATCTTCAAAGTGTTCTCACATCTCTGCCTCCTGATTGAATTTTGTCATCTGAGCCGTTCAAAGGATTCAGCCTAAGAAGGGCCCAAGGTAGAGCTGCTTCAGACTGAAATTGGAAGAAGCTACTCTGTTGTTTGCTGGGAAAGAAACATTTAGATCAGAAGATACATTCCAGTTGCACAGAACTCATGTTCTGGGTTGGAGGTGTTGAATAATGAGATCTTCAGCTGCAGAAGGAGAATCCCAACCTCATGTCTGCAGAGCTGTGTGAGCAAAGGGGCACTTGTCATTTTTAACCCTGCCTGAACTTGTTCTTGTAGTGCCCCCCTTTGCTTTAATGTACATTTCTTTAGCAGGTGCTGTCACTTGTTCAGTCTTTGGAAAAGTTTTTAACACTCAATGTGCCTCATTGAAACAATCAGTGCAGGATCTCGATAACAAGTGAACATGTGTCACAACAAACCAAAGATACGTCTTTGGTTTCACTCCTGGAGACACTGTAATTCCCACCACATCGACAGGACAGAGTGTAGACTTGTTTATCTGCCAAAAAAGAAAACAAAAACATCTTGAGTGCTGGAGAAGAATCAAGAATTTATTTGGAATTTTCTTCACAAAGCTACTCTTAGTAACAAATAACCTCCTGCTTCTGGGTTGTAAATATCAGCATCTGTGCTACCATTTGTGACTCAAAAAATAATCTCAAAGTGTTTCAGTGGTTGAGGTATTCTTACACTAAACAACCAGGGCCAGTGGAGTCTCTTAAAAAAACAAACAAACAAACCAAAAAACTCCAGTAATAACAAGCTGCACAATCTGATGATACTAAAAGAAAAAACAAAGTGGTGTTAGTCATATAGATCAAGGATGCCTCCAAAATAGGCTGCTAACCCAGGAACCAAAACAGAAGAAAGGAAAGTAGGATTTTTCCCCTCACAACTTAAAAAAAGAGTAAAAAAATAAAAATAAAAATCAGCCATTTATTCCAAAAGCGATTAAACAAGAAAAGCCAGAGCAATAGACAGGAGGGAAGGAACAGTGGCAGACGAGAAAAGAAACACAGTCATTTTACCATCACAGGAAGAACAAGAAGATGCACAAGAGATACAGGAAAACTCTATGTACTCTCAATTATACAAGAGGAGAGCTGGGTGAAAAGTGGTGCTGCAAGTGAGCGTAGATGGAATGGAAAACAAATGTAACAGAAAGTTAAATTCTAATCCAGGTAATCTCACAGAGCAAAACAGCTTTGTCTCAGGAAATACAGCAAAAACAGCACTTAAAGTAAGACAACAATGGTGCAAAGTGCTGAAAAAATAGAAAACATTAACAGGGGCAATGAAAAGCATTAGGAACCAGCAGCAAGGCATTCATACCTTCATTCCAGGACATGTCCTCAAGATAAATCTGCTCATGAAGTGGCCATTCTTTTGTCAGGTTATCTCCTATAAAGCAAACATGACAGATGTTCAGTCTTTTCTGAGAAATTAATGGTTTTATATACCTAGCGGTCAATCAGGTCCCTACCAGAGTCCTACCTAGACCACTGTATCAGTTCAAGATCTAGTTCTCTACAATTTTAGTTTCCATAGATCTGCACAAGCTGGAAAATGTTCTCTTGTAGCCAGGAGAAAAAATGGTGACAACAAATTACTGAATTAAGACCCTGAAACCAGCACTTGTGTGAAATTAGGGGCAAACTTCTGTTTTGATGTAGATGCCTTTCAAAACCTGGCTGTAGCTCCAACTCCCCGAGCTGAAATGGTGAAGGTTATGTCTGCTAACCTGTACTTTTCACAGATTTGTGGGACAAACTGTTGAGGTCCAAAGGGACCTCTCAAGATCACCTACCAAAGCCTCCTGCACCCACAGCTGGAGCAAGCTGACCAGGATGGGCAGATTTTAAATATCTCCTCAAGTGGAGACTTCTCAGTATCTCAGTATCTCTCTTCAGAATCTCCTTAGAAAGGAGAAGCCAAATCAAAACCTTCCTATAAGCACCAAGGGAATGTTGTGTGTGAGAGCACCACTGATATTCCTGCAAAGAAATAAATCCTGCAGAAGAAATAAGTCCTGCAAAAAACACTTTAAGGGAAGACAAGTCCAAGTGCTGTTTTATGATAAAGAGTCTCTGTGTCTGTACCCGAGAGATCTGCTGCCATTTGATCCCCCAGACTCTTCCAACATTGAGTACAGCATGAAATGAAAAGTGTACAACATCTACAGGTAACAAAAAACTGAGTTAGAAAACTTCCCGAGCTTCCATTCTGGAATTAATGAAGCAGGATTTCTCTCAAAACTTTTATAGGATTGGTGGTGGAGGTCTGGGTCATGCCTCACTGCTAGAAAGTACAAAAAGGGCAGATGGGCCACCTGAAGAGAACTGGTACAGTGCAAATTCATGAGCTTACCATACTTCAAGTAAAGTAACTGAATCACAGAACCACAGCATCATTTACGCTGGAAAACACCTTTAAGATCATCAAGTCCAACCATTAAAGTAATGAAGAAGCAGCTGAGGAAAAGTCTGCTCTCTTTTCTATTCCAAACATGGTATAATACAAAGCCCAGGGAACAGAATTTCAACAAAGCTTTTCTAATTCATCCCTGCAATTGTAATTTTGAAAACAAAAAACCACTCTAACCCACGGGCAAAATTAATCCTTCTCACAATTCCCAGGCTGAACAGAGATTGTTATTCCCCATCTGATGCTCAGATCCTGAAGGATCAGGCACAGCATCTCCAACTGGGCAAGGGAGGGATTGTCCTGCTCTGCTCTGAGCTGGGCTGGCCTCACCTCGAGTGCTGGGGCAGTTTTGGGTGCCACAATATAAAAAAGTTGTAAAACTATCAGAGGGTGTCCAAAGGAGGGCTGTGAGGATAATGAAGGACCTAATGAAGGGCAGCCATATGAGGAGCAGCTGATCTGCTCAGCCTGGAGGAGACTGAGGTCAGACCTCAGCCTCGGAATTATTCCTGAGGGGAGCAGGAGGGGCAGGCACTGATCTCTGCTCTGTGTGACAGGGACAGCACTCCAGGGAATGGCCTGGAGCTGAGTCAGGGGAGGTTCAGGCTGGAGAGCAGGAAAAGGTTCTTCCCCCAGAGCGGGGCTGGGCACTGAACAGGCTCCCCAGGGAATGGCCACAGCACCAGCGTGACAGAGCTCAGGGAGTGTTTGGACCCTGAGGCACAATGGGATTCTTGGGATGTCCTGGATCCGTGATCCTCCTAAGTCCCTTCCAACTCAGCATATTCTGTGACTGTGATTCTATGAAGTCTGAAATCTGGTTATCTCAAAAAATAAAAATTTTCTATTAGAACTCTTGACTTCCCACATAATCCAGTGCCAGCTCTTGTCAGGCAGTTTTGCACACTGCATTTATTCGCCTGTCTGGTTCAAGCAGGAGGAACATTTTCCAAAGATGAACAAAGCTCTTTTATTATCTGGGTCTCCTACTAAAAACATTACCCAGCCTAATACACCTTGAGACGGCAGAAACAGAGGGAGCCACTCAAAAACAGAGGCACAGCCCAGTCTGAGATTGCAAGTAGAACATGCAACCTAATGGCTCTCAGATTTCTTGTGCCCTTGCTTATTCCATCTGCATCACTGTTACTGCAACCATGGCTCCTGGTTGGTGCTTGTCCGAAGTAAAGTGGTGTCCCATTCTCCCTCCCAGCCCCAGTGAGAGTGGGAATTACCAGTGCTGAGTTATGTGATGTCTGCTCAGGCTGTAAAACTCTGTGTACAGAGCTGTCATTTCTGAAACCCTCCCTGAACATCCAGGGGGAAATGTGAGGACCTGATCATCCACCAGAACTTGTGAAACAAATTTTAATTCCCCCGCAGCACAGCCTGCCTGGCTTTGCCATCTATTGGATTTGTCTGACAACAAGAGGTGAAAGGATTCTGCAGCTCCATTGTCTCAACTGCAGGATCTAAGAAAACATTGCCAGGCTCATCAGAGAGGTTTATGAGCCTGCAATTCAAAGAGATTAAAAGGAAAAATCTACTGAGATTCTTTCAGGCTACAGAACAACATTAAATAACTATTAGCAGCTTGGTTCAGTAAAGCTTTACTAGAGCCCTTGGTGGGTCATTCAGAAATTGTAAAAGAGGAAAGGTATTTAAGTTTCACTTGGAGATACAATAAATATTTCTTGGGCTATTTAAGGCTGAGTTTTAGGGAAAGGGTTGCAAGCAGTAAAGGGAAATTCAACCCTTTTAACAATTTATGGATATAGTAAAAATAGTCGTAATACTTGAAAGATTTTTCTAGCTCTTTATCAGGCATACATACTTAGGATTGATTTTTTTTTTTTCAAACCAAACACAACTAAACTTCAAGATATGTACTGTCAGTCAAATGCTGTTCATAGTATCGACTCTGCATAAAAATCACCACAGTATTCACTGGATGTTTTCACAAGTTAATTTTTTCAAATAGGCTTTTCACTTTTAAAACAATTACTTAAATTTGAGTATTTTCAGTTAATTTAAAACAATCAATTTAATTTGAAATTTTAACCAAGTCATGTTAAGAATTTTCATAAAAAAGAGATATAAAAATACCAAAACAATCCTGCTCCACTTGTTGCAGATGAGATTTAACTCCAGAGAGTTCAAAGTGCTGCAGCTGAGGGGCTACAAAACCCATGGCTGGAGAAGGAATATCCACTTCTGTCACACCCACAGCATAACCTGGCACACTGTAAAACCACTGCTGTTGTCAGCAAAGCCTGCATTAGTGACCTGGTATTACAAAATGAGTTGGTTTAGGCTAAGTACAATTTTTTGTTGTACTGCCCAGAGCAGCTCGAGAATCTCCACCCCTGGGGACACTAAAGCCAGGCTGAGCAACTGACTCTGAGGACTGGCTTTAGGCAGGAGATTGATGTTCACAGGATGGCCTCTGAAAGTCTCTTCCAGCCTAAGTGATTCTCTGATTCTGTGAGAAGTTTTTCTTTCCAGCTGTGTCACAAAAGCAAGAACTTTTGAGGTTCAGGTGATTTCTAATGTGAAAAATGTGAAACAAGTTTTATCCACACCAAAAACTTTTGGTAATGATCAAGCTTGATTTTAACTGCATATTCATCTCTTTTAAGCAGGATATCAAACAAAGAATGGAATAATCTAAGGAGAAAATCTATTGACAAAAAGTACCCAAGTCCATTCTTCATATGTAAATTGTTATGCAGATTTTTTTTTTCCATCCCCAAATTTTTTTTCAGAGACTGTAAGCAAAAGATGCACCATCATAAAAAGGTACTCTTATATGACAAAACAATGAATTGGGAAAAAATTCAGAAAACATACAAAAAGGCAGTTCTTATAAGATTTCCCGATCAGAAAAAGATGGGTAAGTGTTTGAATCTAACCTCTAAACAGTTTGTGGTTTGTCCCTTCACCTCTAATGCTATGACCTGAAGGCACAAAAAAATTAGGAGATTATTGAAAAACCTTCAGAGAAAAGCAGTATTAAGATATAAAAGCACATTCACTAGTTATTCCAAACAATTAAAACAAAAATAAAATTAAAACCAGAGAGTCCCATAGAATTTCACTTTCTCAGAACTTCTCTGGCTACTGAATTTTTGAGCCAAGTAATTAAGATTTAGTCAGTGTAACACAAGAAGGTACATACAACCAAACAATCTGTGAAATAGGGAAAAGACTGCAGTGCAAAGTGCTTCCTGTGATGGGCAGCCACACACACACACACACACACACTGGCATCCTCAGATGCTGCTTCCTGGCCTTCCTTTGCATCTTTACTAACTTGCTGTATTATCTCTCCCATCACTATTCCCCTTAGCTGCTGTCTCAATTCCTTTGTTCCTGTGAGCTTTTATGGCAGTGTCTACGAATTTGTCTAGAATCATGGCTTCAGAAGCAGCTTGACAGGCATTCAAAGAAGTAGAATTTATTTCCCCATCATTTTGCTGCCAGGGAACATGCTGGAAAGAATGCAGCAGCACTGCACATGTGTGTCAGGTGTGGCTGAGTCTGAAACATGGGAGCTCTGGGAATGGCACCCTCTGTGCTAAAACAGAATGTCTCATCATCAAACACCTGCCTCAACAGAGGTACAATCTGATTTCTTTATTTACCACGTCTTTCATACACAATCTTGAGATGGCTTTTAGAAGAACTCATCTGGATGCAAAAGAATCTCAGAAAATATAGATAATCTTCAAATTATTGTAAAAACTCATTTATAGATTAAGGACATATTTATATTGCAAATATGTCCTTAATCCCAAGGGAAAACAAAATCCTGATGTAGCTCTCCACTGCAGTGGATGAACCTGACCCAGGCAAAATGGAACTTCATAGTCTGATTTAAGCTTTAGGTAAAATTCACCAAATCCTGAAAAGATTCCCATCTAATCTCTAGTATTTCCTTTTTCCTCTGCACATAGAATTTGTGAAAAGAGAAGGCACAACCAGTATTGCAATGGTGAGAGTACAATAGCATGAGAGCGCTGGCAGCAGAAATTCCTGTTCTGACCTCACCTTCAGGCATTTAAAAAAAACTTTGAGATGAAAAAATTATTTAAGCCTAATCTTAATACTGTTTACATTACAAATAGAACAGATCCGATTTTTTCCATAAAATATGTATTCAACAACTCTGTTTCCACTCCTCCCCTCTCTTCCCAAAGCCACATGAAGTCTGAAATACAAGGTTGTTGTGGTGGTTTTGTATGGGAGGCATTCACACAAGTGAGATGGGCCATGAGAAGCGTCCTAAAAGTTTTGTTCTGATTCTTATCACTCCTTTTGGTTACTTTAATAAACTTTTCTTTAAACCCTTTTAAAGTTTTAAGCCTACTTTACCTTTCTCCTAATCCCCCCTGACAGGAAATGAGTAAATACATTCTACTAAACACACCAGTGACTGACCAACACGAAACCCACCACGCTCATTACTACATCAACGGAGAAATCTCAAATTAGCAAAGCAAAGCCACTGCAGTTATTCGGGTGGAGAATTCACCCTGTGTATCTCCAGCACCCTCTGTGCCCTGCTGTGATGGCACGGTGCCTTTGTGTCTCCGAGCTGTGGCACCAGGCGGCGGGGGGAGTTAAAAATCAGCACGAGGGACGAGGCTGATGGTGTGCCAATGTACAGTGCAGGGAATTCAATAACAAGCTGCACAGACAGTGGGCTTTTATCAGCACATTCCGCAGTGGTGGTGGCTCCACGTCAATGCTGGCCCCAGTGTGTCACTGCAGAGTGCCACCGAGTGCTTTCCCCACGGGCAAGCCACTATTATTGACTCCCCCCATTAACATGTAGGGTGGATATACATTTATTGAAGGTTCTAATGGAAGGCTGAGGGACTCCTATCCTGAGGCCAGAGCAGAAAGACAGCCTATCACTTCATGTAATGGTAGCCCATGTGTGACAGACCTGACCTACATTTCCCCCCTTTCTTTCTCACAACAGCCTGTCACTGTTTTAAGGAGCTATTTTCTGAGAGCTATAAAAAGGAATGCATGCTAGAGCTGCCTAGTTAATATGTTATATTGAAATATTATTTACAAACCTGCTTTAGAAAGGCTGGTTTTGACTGTGGATGAATTATGAATGCTACCTAACAACCACAATGGAAAAGAATGTGTCCTAATGATTCTGGTTGTAAATCCATACACAAAGAACACTAGGTGTAGATGGATTAATACTTACCTCTAAACCACTGCACCAAAATGGAGCATAAAACTTAAAATTAAGAATAATTAATGAAGCTACCTCCGTTGTGGCAGCACATTTCTCCCTCTCTCAGGATTTTTCATAGAAGTGCACAAAGAGAAATAAAAGAGAAAACAATTTCTATTTCTGCTCCTTGTTTTTCTCATGTGGAATGTGTTTGGAGAATTGTTTACCTGGGATGATTACTTGATTGGATTCTGGTGAGGATTGTTTGAGCCTGATGGCCAATCCAACCCACCTGGGGCTGGACTTGACAGAGAGGGTCACAAGTTGTGTTATGTTAGAGAAAGTAGTATGTAGTTTTAGTATCTTCCTACATATAGTATATTAATGTATTTTAGCATAGTTATAATAAATAAATCATTCAGCCTTCTGAATAGAGTCAGACATCATCATTTCTTCCCATTGGGTTCGCCTGCATTTACAACACTCTGTAAAGTAAAAAGAGCTAAGGTCTGCAATAAGTATAAATTCCATAATAATTCAGACTATCAGGAATAATGTCCCCTAACGTTTTGTTGGAAGTAATTCTGTGTTTTCAGCAGCTGATGTATGTGTAGCTCAAGCTATAAATAATGGATCCATGTCTGAAAGTAGGACAAGAGTGAAAGAAACATTCCGTTCAGCACTAAGCAGCATTTTAAAATACCATCTAACTACCACTCCCAGCCCCTGCTTATCTAAAGAGCTGCTGCCACTCCAGCACTCCTTGGCAGGAACCTACCACGCTGCTGCAGGTCATACTCTTTTTTTGTCTCCTCGTTGCCTAGAATTTTCCACGCTTGGTCGATCTCGATGAACCGCTGCACGCGCTCCTCCGCCTCTCCTGCCGCCACATCTGCCTCCTGTTTGTCGGGGTGATACTGCCAATGAAAAACAACACGGGAAAACAGGGCTGGGGGAGCGAGAGCGAGGAGCTGGGAGAGGAGCGGGCAGGAGTGCATCTGATACTCAGCTAGGAGGACAGAGGGAAGGAGAAGGTCCAAGCTGAGGAGCCAAAGGAAGGGAGGTGACGACGCTGGGCACAAGAGGAACCTGCCACTTTAATTATCCCACTGGAATGGCAGCAGAACCAGCAGTGGCACGAGTGTCACCATGTGCACTGATGCCATTTTCTGGATAATTTGCTGATGGAATCACTGGCCTCATGGACAATTTACCTAGAGAGTGACTAGCACAAACAGAAATAGGTACACGCAGGGGACCATGACACAGGAGCAAGAGGAGGTGCTGGAGGTGCTGGCAGCTCTCGTGTCACTTCACAGAGCTGATTCAAACATAACCACCAATGTTTAGTTAAAGCTATTACAGATAAACGGAATGCTGCATTACACGTGCCTAGCTTATTTTTATTATTTAAATGGTAAATAAAATATACATGATCAAATGTAATTTATACTACATGTAATTCTACTTTTGAAAATATGCCCGAACATCTTTAATTTCTTCCAGTTCAGTGAATCAATAGCCTTTCCAAATACTTAAAATCATGGATCACTGGCTACAAAATCGTGTCATTTTAGTTAAGAAATGATTATTCAAGGACATGGTTATTCAAGAAATCCCACGCTAAATAGGCAATAATAATTAAAACAGGAACACGTTTTCTTTCTCATTTGTGCAGAGCAGAGCAGTCTGACTCAAGTGGTTCCAGTGCCTACTGAAAAGGAACCCTCAAAGCTCCATCTTCCCGTAGCTTTAATTCATCTCCAGTAATCTCTTTTTCCTGCCATTTTAAATTGCTCAGTAGACGTGACGAACAGGAAACAAAATTTAAGTTATTTAAATTGAGAAAGTTGCAATATAATCAGGCCTACCAGCTGATAATTGTGCCACAGACCAAGTTTTCCCTTATTCTGGAGCTTTAATTGCCCTTTATACCAACATCAGCCGGGGCACTGAAACGTGAAGCAGATTTTAGGATGCAGAATGCCTGTTTTGTATGTCTTTAAGCAGATTTCTGATTAAATGAATCTCTCTGGATTTCTAAGTCATTTTGGAAAGAAAAGAAAGAAAAGAAAACGTGTAGTTGACAAAATCCCAAATGTAAAGGAACTTTTCTCCTGGAGTCTGTTTGCTCACTGATGGCACTGATGGCTCTTACCCACACAAATCCCCTGTACAACAACAGCAGGGATGAGTGAGCAAAATGCTTCCACCTCAGGGTTTTTCACAGGTGTTATTCCACACACAGGTGGATACACCTCCATCCTCACATAGGTACAAAATCCTGGTTTTGTTCCACTTGAAGTCCTCCCTGCATTCAAGGCTGAAGACTATCTTACAACTTGCTGAAAATACAGATGAAGAGCAGTTGTGATCCATAAAGATTCATTCCTTTTCTAGCTCCTCAACTGAAGATGACAACATTCTGAGGTGCAAACAAAACCAAAAAATCTTGGTCATTGCATTCAGTCATTGTATTCTATATAGGTAGCTGCTAGATATTTGGATTGGCCACAAAGACCACATCTGCTCAGATCAGTTTCTTAGAAATACACAGAAACATTACTGACTGACTGCCCAAAGCAGAGCTAAGCATACTGCCTTCTCTCCTGCCAACAATGTTGAGAAAACACTCCCACAAAACTGGCCCCACTTTCCCTGTGCTGCACCAAAACCTTGTCTGACTGAAAAATGATTCTGAACTATACTGGAAGGAGACAGCCAAATACAGGAAGTCACACATCACAAAAGTACTGTGGAAAAATAATAATCAGTGCAGAAAACACTACTCTGCTCATTTCTTGAATAATGAAAATTAATTAGTCTTCAGGTTTATCACATAGCCCTTAACTCCTTCCCTACACTGGAAAATTTAGTATCTGCAGCATATGCAATTTTTATGTTAGAAAGATTACAATTTTATTAACTCCACTGTAGGAGACCTTCTCATTAAAATATGCATCTGTATCTGTCTCTATCTCTATATCTATATCATCTATATCTATCTATATCTATATCTATATCTATATCTATATCTATATCTATATCTATATCTATATCTATATCTATGCTATATCTTTGTCTCCATTATTATTTCTCTCCATTTTGGTCTCCATGCCTTCTGAACCTATTTGCTCCTTCCTCTCTTGGCCTTTCTCCTCTATTATCACCTAATGCCTTTAGCAAACTACATCTACACTAAGAAAAATCCTCAAACATCAGCTCTTTTATTCTAATACTCCTCTTGTTCTTTTTTTTTTATGTCAGTGACCCCATTTCATCTGGATTTATCTACTTATTGTTATGCTCTTATTGACTTATTTTCCCACTCTCAAGCTTGCTAATCAAAATCCAGGAATTTGTCTGTAGCAAAAATCCACTCTTGATTCAACTGCCCTTCTCTTCTCTCTCCAAGAGAGCAAACGAGATGTCCTCTCTCCAGGTGTTTTAGACTCTGTTCAGCCACTCAAACATAGAGGACACTTTGGAAAAGCACTAAAATTCAGAGGGAGCACTCTGATGTCAATACTTCACAGAATCACAGAATCCCTGGGTTGGAAGAGACCTTCAAGATCAAGTCCAACCCAGCCCCAACACCTCAACTAAACCCTGGCACCCAGTGCCACATCCTGTTGCCCTGATTCTTAAGATTTTCTAAGGCCTTCTGAGTTTACGTTCTTGTAGAGAACTTTCTCAGACAATTTTCTGTAAACAATCTATTGTTTTGCATTCCTCCATGGGGGTGGAGAAATTTGATGTACTGGTAGTTTGTCCAATGTCATTGGAGAGGTGGCACATTCACCCTCCAATCCACTGTCACCCTTGGAAAAGTACAAATGCTGGAGTCAGAAAATAAACTTCCTCTCTTTCACCTTGCAATAGCAGCGGCTCGTGTTGTGTTTTCACGTGTCCTGTAGCGACAACATCCAGGCTTTGTTAAACACACCCAGGAATGGTGATTCCATCACCTCCCCATTCCAGAATTTTAAACACACCCAGGAATGGTGATTCCATGACTTCCCCATTCCAGAATTTTATCACTCTTTCTGTGGAAAACTTTTTCCTTCAGACATAAATCACACTCTTTTTTGGGACCTTCCCTCACTCCTGTTACCAGATTCTCGTGTCTGATCCTGCTCCTTCTCCAGAGGAGCTGCCTGCAGAAGCAGAGCCGGGAGTTTGGTTTTGTTTTGTAAGAGGTGAAAAATGAGGGATGATCTTCTCCTCTTCCCCATCAGGAGCTGCGCAGATGATGGGTGCCATCCCCACCTACCTGAGCCCTGCTCGCAGCCCTGCTCTGGATACTTTTCAATCTTTCAGCTGCCATGGTTTGAGGTAGCAATGCTTCATAAAAAACTTTTTGCTGAGCGCTCATCCTGGTAACTGTGTTCAAAACCAAGTGTTACTAATGTGTTGCTATTTTATAGGATTTTACAAAAACAGTAAACGATCCTTTCCCAAGTCCAGCTGAGGGAAGGGAAAATGAAGAAGGTTGGTGAAACATGCCCAACCTAATTTGCCTTTTTTATAGCTGTACTAGAGGTAACTTGCTGACTCCCTGTCTCGGATTTGTATCACTTTGCTTTTCAGTTAGTCTGAATGCTAAAAAATAAACCACTTGATTTTGGAAATACATTCGTTTATCTGATAACATACCTGTGATACTACTGCTCTCTCTCCTGATGTTTATCTTAAATGTCACTTTGTCCTAGTATTTCCTGAGGACTCTGGTTCTTGGTCTAAGATTTAATTCAAAAACAATTTCTCAAAGGTTCAATTTCCTTTAGCTTTTGAAATTGCTAAAAAGAAATTCTGGAAAAGCATGAACCTTGAAGTTCAAAGCTCATATGAAAAATACACTTTATCAGTATCTGTTGGGGACTTGGTGAAATGTTTGGCACTGCAGGGCAACAGGAAAAGCTGGCTAACACAAACTTAACCTTGTGCCCTTTTCAATTACAGTATCATTATCATACCTTGATAAAACAACTGCATTCTAGTGTGTTATTCATAATATACACCAGACTATACTTTTCAGCAGCTTGGGTACTGTGAGAAACAATGGCAAACATACTCTGAAACACAGATACTGGTTCAGTTCATAGCTCTCAGTCTTTTTTCAAGTATTCAAAAAGTTAGAAAATTTTCATGGAATCTTGTTTAGGCAAATTACTTGTATTTCATTATGATGATCATTTGCCTTTGACATCTGCTACAGAAAGAAGAACAAACCTTTTCTGACTCAAAAAGAGGATGTTTATATTGCTGCAAGTGTAGACTATGAGAATGCCTTGAGTTCCAACATCTGTTTTATTTATTATATTTTTATTTGTACAGTGTAGGACGCAGTTAGGTTTGTATGAGAACGTGGAACATGCTGCAGCACATTTCAACTGCTACTCTCTGAATTTCTGCCTACTTTACACTCCGTGAAGTTTGGACCCTTCTGCACTTTCAAGAACTGCAAAATCTATCCCTGGACTTTAATCCCTGATTGTTAATGTGACCATTTAGTCAGCAACTGGAATTACATCTCAGTGACAGATCAGCAGACCCCAAGAACACTCACAGCACAGGACAAGGAGCCACGAGAGCTTGCTGAGCTTTGGCTGGGCAGCTCCAGCTCTGCAGATGCCATGTGGGAAATGGGTTTGTAGAGAATTCTCAAAGCCTGACAGAAGGCTCACACTGTGTGCATCCGTATGCAAACTTAAACTATGAAATACTGACTTAGAAATGACATGGAATAGGACAGACATTGTTAAGGGAGAAATGGAACTAGAAACAAGTTTCAAATAATAGCCTTACAAATAAGACTAAATACTTTAGAGAAACAGAACTACAAAAATACATTGTAGTAAGAGTCACAAAGAGTAATTTTAGATAATTAGCTCTAAAGCATTTACAGCATAGTATA